TCCTAAATAAGAATTCTGGAGACCAGCTGCTTTCACCGGTTATGTCCGTAGTTAACTCTGATCAATTCCAAGTATGTTCGCGACCGCGTGCGATTCTTTCTTCTCGGTTGTGCCTTCATTCTCATCATAGGGACGAGCGTTATCCTCATCCCCTATCTTTGCATTGTTCTACCACTCTCCTTTTCCCATTGACTCAAGAAAAATTTCGTACATGTAACGGAGATTAGAGTAGCTGTGACCAACTGTGGGTCCCCGAGTATATTGAATGGGTCACGAGAAGAGAAAAGACCTCCTTACAACACACAGCCACCAACTTATGCCATACGCCACAGAGTGTTTTTTTTACTTGATTGATTAGTGATTCAGGTATTAGTCTTCCGCAATGTGTGGTTGTGTAGAGCATGTAAGTGTGTGTGTAAGTAAGGACACGGAAGTGCGTCAGCACTGCATGTGGCAGGGAGGGAAGCGGTTACCGATACAAACGCGTCACAGGGCCGCTCGTGTATATACCTCCACTTAAACTAATTCTTTATACGCAACAGCACCTAATTGGAAATGCTGCTAAGTGGCTCCGTTTGAAGAGATCTTAATTACAATGACGGGTACTTAATACTTGGAACACTATCCATGAATTAGATCTGTTTCCTTATAAATATATTCTTGTTTCCGCGCATTTCTCCTCTTTCATTTGTTCTCATTGGTTTGGACTAGTACTTGTACTATTCATTGAAAACCAGGAGAGCATTGAAAAGCCAGGAGAGATGATTTTGTTGTCGAAAGTGAATTGTGTTTGTAATAACATATCTGCTATGTATAGTATAGTATATGTATAGTCTACATTTATTTCAAATGCTTCCCTCATAATGTTGATTGTAAACTTGTTTAAATTTAATTCTATTTACACACATTATGAAATTATTACAAGATTTAAATTAAAAATGGTGATGACTTGTCATGAAACAATAACCATAATTCGTGGACACACAATTCTGTAGGTGCAGTGCCTCTGACAGGGAGGTCCTAGGGTCGGAATCCCCACAGTGGAAGGAGTTTCAACACTAGCAAGACATCTAGGCCGAGTTCACCCCTCTCTGGAGGAGAATTATAGCGGCCGGCTGCTCTGATCGGTAGTTTTCCGTAACAATTTCTCCGATCAACACGAGGTGAAAACCGGAGCTATCAAACAGACCACGAACTGTGCGCGATCTTTCCTTCCTCCTCTTTGTCGTATCTTCACACCTTCCATACACGTACATTCTCATGTACTACACTACTACACTTATTGGGAGACTAGTCGGGAGCTTAGAGGTTGACACGGCTGGGGCGATGCCACACTGGTGGAAGATACATGGTTGAGGAAGTTCCCGCAGGCATACTTAGGTCAGCGCCGGATTTTGCCATCCAGAGGCAGAAACTCACCGCCATTTCACGCGATATGAACATGCACTACACTTAAAGGACTAATGATCGTTGCCGTGCCCAAAATCACTAATCAATCAATCAATGGATCAATCAAAAAACTGAAGCTATGCGACGACAGGCCGGTGAAATGCAATGGATATCTTGAAGATTGGATGATAACATTGAAAGCGTTTGGCCACGAGAAATGGAGTCCAGAAGCTAACGGTGAGTGCACTTGTATTGTGAACTTTAATTAAATTGCTTTTGCTCTTTTAATTGTTTTTAGAGCGTTGAATGAAGTCCCAATATTGGCAGCGACGAGCGTTGGGCCTTGGGGCTCGAGCGTACTGGTTCTTGGGAGGTCGCCGGGTCGATTCCCGCAGGGTGCCGGAAATTTGCGTGATATAATTAGCATCAACGAAATTTGCGTGTTACATTTGTGACGTATGTCGGGGTCAAAGTCGTAGGTCGACTGCTCTGATCAATAGTTTCCCTGATTACGTCCTGGCGAATGCTGGAGCAGCGCCCTAGAATAAGGGACACGGAATGATCGCGTTCCTTTCTTGTTTCCAAACCCAATCCTTAGAGCGGAACAATGATCTAATCACCCATCGAAAGACCCTGGTCTAGAAAAATCTCTGTTTAATGTCGGGAATAGGACATGACAGAACTATCAGTGCTCTTGAGTTATGAAAGAACAATTTTTTCCTTTATCGGTGGCTGAGAACAAGACTGTTCAAAAACCACTTTATGATTTTTTCAGGAGAGCCATTTAAAGGTTTTTGTAGTGGAGAATAGGTCAGTATGGAATAAGTTTGTTACATTCTAATGGAGAGGACTTTTTACAATTTTGTTGATAAACACATGTAGACAGGGACATAGAACACACTGAAAGAGAAATATAATTTGTTTAGAAAGTTGTACTTAAAACAATATGGTTTTCAGTCTTTGGTATATTGACACGTGAGAGAAAACTATTTTCCCTGTTCTTAAAGCAGACATTTCTCTTCTTCGGAATACGGTACGCTTAGAAAATTAAGAGCCGGTTCCCGAGCGCAGACGGTTGGGGCAGTATCGTGTGCGCTGATGAGGCTATAGGTTTGAATCCTGGGTAGACGAATTTATAATTGTCCCTTCATATCTCGTGGACATCATCCTACAACCTTATAATTCATAACTCAAGTTTAACAAACTTGTTTTATCAATAGATTAGCCGAAAAAGCTGATTCTCGTGATGAATCAAAACATGTCAATTTCTCCCGGATAAATATGATTGGGCCTCAGAGTATATGATGTAGCGTGGTTCTAGATGGCCGATAATCGCATTAAAAATAATAATAATAACTATAATAATAACTACAATAACAAAAACAACAATAACAACAAAAAGGAAAACAATAATAATAACAATAATAACATAAATATAATAGTTACAACAATATTTTTAGGTGGTCTGCTTTCAGTTTCATTATCCGAGGCAAAGAAGTCCGTCGGTCAGTCCGCAGGAGCAGTTTGGGGATCCCTAGATTACGTACAGCAGAAAAGCCACTTCCTGCGAGGCCGAGCTGGATCCCCCGCTGGCCGACAGACGACGGAGCGGTCCACTTGCATTTCGCTGGAAGTTAGAAAACGTTTGCACTCCATTTCAGCTCTGTGCCCAAGATACACAGGCAGAGGAAGCAAATAAAAGAACGCGACGGAAGCCGGAGAATGAAACGTCCCCAACGGTCAACACCCCCAACCCCAACACCCCTCCCCCTCCCCCGCCAACCTTGTGGCTCTGGTGGCGAAGACTGGCGGTAGCGTGTGTGGCGCGGTCCGACGGCGAAGGCTGGCGGTGGCTCGCTCTGATGGCGAAGGACGGTAGCGTGTGCGAAGGTGCGGAGGCTGTGAGGCTGGGGCGCGGTTTCAAAAACCGGCGTCTGCCTGAGAATTCGAACTACGCTGAATCCCGTTTCCTGTGTGCGAGGCGGCCAGCACTCCGGCTCTGAGCTACGGCGACATCTCCAGCGGTGGTGTCTGGTTAGGGATCGTGATAGTACGCGAGGCAGGGGTCGGCGGCAACGGCGGCGTCGCCGAATGTTGTGGTTGATAGCGGGCGCCGCGCGTGCTGCTTATCGCGGCCGGCGCTAATGAGCATAGATATTATACGCGCGCGTGCTCTGTGAGCGACGTGGGGAACGAGGAGGTGGCGGTGGCGCGCTCTGTGAGCGTGGAGAAAGAGGCGGCGGCGACGCGCATTTTGAATGCACTATATATAAGTTCATAATAGAATTAGATTAAAAAATTTGAAACGACTGGGGGAAAAAGGAGAAAAGGAAACCCTACAAGGCGGTGACGAAAAAAAAACAAATGAAAAGCAATACAAATTGAGTGAATGATTTTTTATTGTAATCAATCAATCCATACAAATCGACACAGAAAAAAATGACATTCATGTTTGTTTGCCGGCTAGATATTTAGCGTCTTCCCTTTTGATTTTCTCATCCACATACCCTTTCGTGCCACCGTTAAGCTTATCAGTACTGACTGCGGTGGACTTATCAGCAGTGACATCACATTCTGCTCCCCTCTTGTCGGCATATCACTACACTGTAAGCACCCCTCGTCGAGCTCGTCGAATAACTCGTCGAGCTATTGCCTCGGCGTTACGTCGTCGACATAATTCACCACAGAGAGCCTCCAGGACCTGTCAAACCGCTACTGTCTTGTTGGCTGGAAGTGTACACATGACGTTGCAGAGATAAATGCACGCCTGCATAATGGTTCTGTCATCCACCATCGACGCCATGTTTTCGTCTAGGCTCGGATAAGCTTCGGGCGGGGGAGGTTTTAATTCGCGTCGACTCATAGGACGTGTTGGTCACGTCTAACCATGTTTGTATACACTCAAGACAAAAAAGTGTTTGCACGGTGTGCGCGCCATCACAGGAGGGGGAGTGTCATCGTTTTGACAAATGATGCAACATAGAGGCGGGGATGCAGTGGATCGAACTTCCACAAAAGGAGGTGGAGGCGGTGATGGTGGCGGTGTGTCATTTGTCCATTGGTCTTCCATTTTTTCTTCTTTTTGTTTCATGTCAAAGTATTAAACAGATAAAAACAGCGAACACGAAAGCAAAGTTCAGAAGGGCTACACTAACAATGATGCTATCTATCCAATTCATAGCAAACACACAAACGTCACGATATTCCTCTTACAAAACACACACAATCCCGTTTCAATGGCCGAGTTTCGTTGTATTGAGCGTAGTGCTGTGTGCAGACGAGAAGGGCGACGGTTTGTCACGAAGGACAGTCGTTCCTCGACGGTGCAGCAGCGTCCTCCTCCTCCGAGTAGTGTTGCGTGCAATTCTGGCGGAGATAGATGCAAAAGCGACAATTCCGTTTCAACGGCGGCGGTCCGTCGATTCGCGTGCGTCCGCGATTCCAATGCTCTTTACACGAACGAAGTTCTTCAATACACGCTAGTTTTTTTATGTCTTCAGGGAGTTACCCGAAAACGCGCTCAACCTCATGGAACGCAGGCGAATGACAAAAATTCGACCGGCAATTGACTCAGTGAATCCGAGTCGAGAAGTGTAAGCTTGTAATCGGCTTCATGCAACTTTCTGAAAGGGCGCTCGATGTTTTCGGGCGTCTCTCGCCTGATCTCTTGTCTTGTGTGCTCCAATACTTCGGTAACGGAGCGGATGAGCGGATGCGTACGATGGAACACTCTGCATCGTAATGACGAGTGAAGCGGCGGAGAGCGTGATTATAACGCGCAGGAAGTTGGTAATCTTATCGTCCTTGAACGGAAGAGACCGCTTACACAATCTCCCTTTTCGATGTCTCCACTTCATGATGCAATAAGTGCGGTCGATTGACACTCATCCAGTCGTGCAGTGCGATGACGTGCTGCCCTGCTAAGCTAACGTCACGGCAAGCGCAGAATTCGCGGTACGCGCGTAAACACTCTTTCAGCGGAGGACACCCGATCGACTCCAGATCGACAATGCTTTTTCCTTAGATAACCTCCTGCAGCCACTTTTTCTTCTGTGTTCAGTTGACGTATATCGTTGTGACACCTTCGAAAGCTTTCATCATCACAAACGTCCTGTCTCGATAATCGTAACACCCGCTACTCCACGGCGGTGTGGCGTGATGGCAGCTTTTGATCCACCACACTTGTCTCTTGTCGACGCTGGTCAAAGTATGGAAAAATCGGGGCGGACGAAAGGTGAATTTCTGAACTAACCGTTCCTCAGGATCGCCTTTGGTGGCCCGGATGACGGTTAGCACTTTGATAACAAATTGTCCGCCTATCCCAAAACCTTGAAGATCAGCGACAGCTGTGAGCACACGTCTTCTTCTTCTACCGGATTTGTTTTCGGGCCACGGCGTGGTCGGTTGTGTTGTCGTCCACAAAGTCTCGTTCCCCTCCTCCTCGTTCTCGTCTCGATATGCTTTTTCTTCTTGCGGACTGTTCTGTTCAGGTGAAGAAGAAGCATTGTCTCGCTGTTCGTCTTTCTTCTTTCGCTTCTTCTTTCAACAGTTTGCATAAAGAATGTTTCACGAACGCAACATGATAAAAGAGCGCACACACGACACAATCAAGCACATTCACAGAGAAAAACAAAAATCGAATGGAATAACACAGCGCAATGATGTCTCGTTCATAGAGAACTGTAGCAGCGACTCGCTTTCGCACGCGAAAAGAGAGACTGACGATCGTCGTGCTGTCGTCACCTTCTTATACAAGACTGTGACGTCAGCGGACACGTTATCACGAAGCGTGCTTTCCTTTTCGCGCGAGGCTATGACGAACCCGACGGATATGTGACGCAAGTCTCTTTCTCTCTTAAACTTCAATGTCTCTCGCATGCACCCACGAATTATGACGCGAGTCGAAACCGAGCCATTTCACGAGGCGAAGCGGGCCCTTTTTCCGTACGACGCGCTTAACCAAATATTGATCGGAATATCGCGTGCGATGCAATTTCTCGGTATAGAAGCGATCCTTGATCGTTTCCCCTTGCAGGTCTTCTAGCGAGTACGTGACTGGATTCGAGAGATGCACAGGAACGATTTTGAAGAGCTCAGTTCCCCATCGCGCTTCGTAGCCTTTCCGAACGTTCTCACCGCGTTTGTACGTTCTCACCCAAAAGACGTCGCCGACGCGAAACCGATTTGCCCTCACGAGACGCGGGTCGAGCGTTTTCATTTGCCCGTACACCGTGCGCATGAGTCTATCGTCCTTGAGTCCTTCGGCTACATGCCGATTGTTAGATGTTTGGTATTGTTGTAATCTTGAAGGAGGGTGGTGAGCATAAGCGTGCAGCGTCGCGTCCCCTCGGCGGTGAAGCGCCTCCACATCCGCTCCTTGAGCGTTCGATTGAAACGTTCGACAATGGCGGCTTTCACGTTGGAAAAGGTGGAATAATGATGAATGCCACGCTCTCGGAGCCACTTGTTGAGTGCGGTATTGTAAAACTCGGTGCCTTGGTCGGTTTGTAGGAAGTGAGGCACTCGCCCGATCGACGTCACGATGCGGTCGAATGCCTTGACGACTTCCGCTCCCGTCTTTTTCTTTGTCGCTTCCGCCCAGGCGTACTTGCTATACACGTCGATGACGGGGAGAATGTAACGCATTCCTCGATTGCTTTTGGAGTACAGTTGCATGTCGACCAAGTAGGCTTGCCATAGATCATCGAGTCCTTTCGTTATCACCCGCCGTCTCGCGTAACGGCGTCAGACAGGCGCATGCAATTCCACAGCGAGTCCTTGTCGAACGGTCGTCAACACGGTCGTCGTCTTCTTCTTCTTCGGCATGGTAAGAGGCGCTAGCCGATAATACCGGCGTCACGCAATTCATCTTCTATTTCTACTATTTCACCATCGAGCCCGTTGTTACCGGCGGTTTTCGAAGCGTGTAACAGACTTAGCCTCTCCACGAGTGTGTTCAAATCGCGCCAATATTTGTAGTCTGGCTTCAGTTCTAAACTAGATTATTAATTTTAATGTAATTTTTAATTTGTAATTTTATCACCTTAATATTGTATTTTTTATTTTTGTCTTTAGAAGAGCGCATATAACCATTTGTTTTAAGTAAAGAAAAACTTTTCAAATGCACTGTTTTTATTTGGTATCCTGTGACAACCTTGTATGGGATGTATATTTTAATTTATGAAAGTATTTGAAACTTATTTGATTTCATTTAATAATTGTTCGGCAAACAGTTTTTAGCAATACATGAAATAAGGTATGATTGAATGGTAAATTGGCAAACAATTTTTAGCAATACATGAAATTAGGTATGGGTGAATGGTAAATTTTGAAATTAAATGTAATAATTTACTTTTATAAATATTTGATAAAGTTTCTTTTCTTATGCAATTTTATCTACTTAAAATTTTATTTTTGGATTTGAGGATTTGGGGAATGGAGTAGGAAAATGAGAAGAACTATGCAGTTATATTTAATATTTTGTTTTATTCTGTAATACATGTACATCATTTCATTTTTTTACAGTTGTGCGATAAACATTTTGACACCAATTACAAGTATTTATTGAAAAAAGAACAACGTGCGATAATCATTTTCAATTATTTAGTAAGTTGTACATTATTTCTTTTTTCTAGAAGTCCATATTGCTTGAACCATATTAAGAGATTTTCGCATTCATTAAATCTTTGTACTTGTATATAAGTACAACGCATGCTTAATTTTTAGGATGGACCCCAAGAAAAGTTAAATGCGGCCTTTCCGCTAAAAATTCTTCTTTGGCTATGGCTTCAATTTCTGATGTAAATCTACAAAGAGAAGTATTATTGCATAACTTTTTAAAAACCTTTTTACAAACATATTAAAACATTCATATTTTACATTCATACCTTGTTGGGAGAAATACATCGAATGTATCGTACAGAGTCGCTACATACGATGATTTTTATATACCTCACTGACAATGTGGTGTATGTCTGTAATTTCAAAGAAAATACCTTTCGGCAACTGCATCATGTTTACCCGAATTGTGGTCGCTTCCATCCTTTTTATTAATGCTTTCCACGAACTAAACAATAAAAAAATTTTTAAGGGCAAGTCAGTGTAAAAGCAACTACAAGAAAACAAAATTATTTCACTTACTCGGTAGGTTTTTTCGACGTGTTACTGCACTATTACTAATCTGTATGCAGTCTGTGTTTACATTCATTTGTACTGCTTGCACTGCGTTGTTTTCTTGTCTTGAACAGAAAGGGAGAAGCATGGTGGTGGTGTTTTTTGGTGTTTCTTCTACCAGAGCAATTGTCAGATTTCCCTCATCATCATCATTATATAATAGCTTCAATGCCTCTTCACGTGCTTGTTTCTTTATCACTTTCATTTTTATTTTTATATCTTCTGGTATACTTTAAAAAACGAAAAAGTTTTAAACTACTCACTGGATTTATGATTTTTTAAATTGAAAAAATTGTAAAAGATAATACTTACAGTTTTCTTTTTTGAAGTGCTGGTGGCGGTGTTTCAAGCAATTCTCCAGTAAGTCCACGGTGTCCACGGAGTCTTCTGCCATCTCGTTCATGACGTCTTGCGAGCTGCTCATAGTGTCTTGCTAGTTGCGCACGTTCACTGTTAGCGAGCGAGTGAGCGTTGCTAGAATGGAACCCCTTTTTAAATCCCTTGGCGTGTTGAGATTATCAAATTATCAGTGTGTGCCTCCACTATCTCGTCCGGTGCTAACTACGTTCTGCTCCAATTAGAATTTCCGCTGATAATGGCCGGCGAATGCTTCCACTATCTCTTCTGGTGCTCGAGCGATATCAATGACATTTTGTTTTCCTAATTATAATTTCCGGTTGCGATAATGTCGCCAGCGTGCTGCTCTTATCGCTATCGCTTGGGGTGCTGGAGTGATTAATGTCTTCCGCTCATGAGTGCTGCACACGTAATCTGTGTAGTGCAATGTTGACGCTGTGTTAATGTGTGTGTGTGAGAGAGAGATAACATAGGGTTTAAAACACCATGTCCGAAGAGCTCTGCCGTTAGTCGTACGTTGCTCTTGGAGCGTGCGGACATTGTCGTGCTCTGCTTTTTCGTCAGATCTTCTTTTTGATTGTTTACGTCGTTTTGTCACGTGTTTGTTTGACGATGTTCAACGCTGTGGTTGTTAGTATTGTTTCATTCGACTTGTCTCGAGATGACGAAAATTCTTTTAAATCGTCACGTTCGCGAACAGCATGAGACTCATGCAGGTCGACAAGCGGAAGTGTCTTTTCCGCAGCGTGAGGATGGTAAAATAAATTTCTTTTAATAGTAGTGGAGTGCATATAGTGATGTGTTGAATTATTATCATTTATGTTTTTGTGTGTGTGTTTTGATTGTTTCTATAGATTGTCCTTACCAACAACAACATCAAGACATTGCAAACGCTCCCCAATAGACGCACGTCGTTCAGTCTTTAAACGCCCGTGTATTTCGGGGTGTCATTTTGAATCCACCTCCCCCACACGACATCACGGATCCGGTCGAGTTTCTTAACCGTTGTCGTGTTCCCTTCCATCGTAAGATGTTTGAAGAGCTCAACAACGACACGCTCAATCGACCTATCTTCAAAATTTTCGCGCAACTCGAGTGTCAGTTTTTAATTGAGAAAGAAAACGTCGAGACGCACGAAATCGTAGGGCTGCTGCAACACATCTTTCTTTCGGCACGGACTGCGGTTTTAGCGCGAGGGGATGACATTTCGGAATTTTTCCTTTCTCGTATCGCACAACCTATCAATTCTTATTTCGATGAGTTTTCCGAGAGAGATTCCGGAAAACTGTTGGTCTCTATCGTCGCTCTTCATGTTTCGGGTCACTTG